CACACACACACACACACACACACACACACACACACACACACACACACACACAAACACACCTCCCCCCTCTCTTCATGACCACAGGTCCCGGCCTCCATCTACCGCCAAGTTCACAAGGAACCTCACCTTCTCGCAGCCCCAAATTCTCCGTCGACTACTTCGCATCGCTTCCGCGGCAGCCGTCCACGACTACCAGCGATGGCAACATCATGAAATTCACAGCCGAAAAAATTAAAATAACTCTATCACGACGGCAAAGAACCAACTTTTATCAACACAACACCTAATGTCCTACATGGCTGACCGACCACGGATGGCGGCAGCGATCTCCAACAGTGCGTGGCACATCATTTTCTTCGTCTCGTCGGACGCCGCATAGTGCGCTTTTTGGACGGCAACTTCCTGCTCCAATATGTCGCATTGCCTCGTGAAGATGCTGCATTGCCACTTGCTAGACGATTCGATCGTCGACGACATCATTGCGCCATGGCGTTCCATGACATCAGAGATGGACTCGAATGTCTGGTGACACTCGTTCTTCCGCTTCCCGCCTCCCGCCCCGCTGCCTACGTTGTTGTCGGACTCCCTCGCAGAAGAACGCTCGTCAGGGCAGCCTTCACTGGCCGCCTCACTACAAACAGACTCCCTGCCACCCGCTCCTCGCCTGGGCAGCTGCACCCCCTCCGGACTGCCGGTGTTGGCAATGTTGGGAGGGAAAATCATGTGGTTCCCCACCATGCCTGCGTGGATCTCGTTGTACAGCGCCCTGTCCATCCGGAACTTGAAGTTGTGCTCCTTCCTCTCTTCGTTCGTCAGCCTGAAAAAATCTGGCCGCCCGCTCGCATTCTAAACCTCTGAATTTTCTTGTAGTTATGGAACAGATTGTCCCACTTCTTCATGCAGTCGTCAGCGTCCTTCGGCCTCCCCGCATTCGCCATCCGCTTCGACATGTCGTCCCACTTCCACTCTTTCGTCTTCATCCGCCCTTAATTGTGAGAGAAGCTGGCGCCCGCTTGCATCGCACCAAGAGCATTTGGTCTTCTGCAGACCAGTACGTCGGAGACTTCCCGGCGTCGTCGCTCACGCCACCTCGGCTTCCATGGGCAACGGATCGACCACGGACAGCACCTCTGCCACGTCCTCTACCCCTCCCACCCGTCTTCCCCAAAGGCCGAATTGGAACGTCGTCGTCGTCGTCGTCGTCCCCCTCATCCCTTCGTCTGCGTCGTCACCGAATCCAACGTCGTCTTCGCCTCCATCGCTGTGCGCGCGCATGTTCAACACTCCACGTGTTATGTTCTCCACAGTGGGTCGTGCACGTACCGACGCTCTGCACCTTCCCTCGTCCCTCACTTCGGATTCGATCAGTGTTGTGCACGCAGGCATCGGCGAATGTGCACCGCCCATGCGCAGGTCGGTGTCAATTGATCGACGGACGGAGCAGTCGATCCATGCTGCCGTCCCGCTGCCGATGGCCCGACCGCGCCAGTCACGGGTGCAGCGCGACGAAGTGTGGACTGCTCCGTATGCAGGCTTCCACCATGTTCAACGCCACGTGCCGAACGAACTCCGTCGATGATGAACGTACGGCTCGCCTCCCTGCCGCCGCCAGAACACAACCCGAAGCTCATATCAACTCCTCCGTCTTCGTCGTCCCGCAATCCTTGATGCAGGAATGACGTGAACTCGCCCCCTTCGTCGCGAGCCGACCCGCCTGCTTGCACTGTCTGCGACCACAACTGAGTCGAGCCGCTGACGAGAGGCAACGTTGAAAGTTCTTCCTTCTCCGGCTCCTCGTCCGACGGGGGCAATGGCGTATCCCACGACTCCAGATGGGTGTACATGGACGGGTCGTACTGCCTTCGAGGCTCCAGCGCCGAAGATCGAACTCCTCCCTGACCTGCGGCAGTAGCCGCTCGTGCCTGCATGCCCGCCATTAGACGTTCCCCTGCCGCCCGTCTCGTCGAAGCCCTCCTCTTGCGTTGTTGTTTCCACGGCCGCCACGACAAACACACGTGGAGGAAGACGACAATCAGGAAGACGACGACAGCGAGTACCAGCAGAGGCAATCTCCTCCCCACGTCAGCCATGAAATTCACCTCTGCAGCCGCCCTCGCACGTGACCACTGCAGATGTGTGTTCYGACATGCCTGGGACAGGGGCACTCGACATTCRTAAGCGGACAACCACCACARARGRCGACGAAAATGCCCGCCTTCCTTTTGAAAATCGACCGTTGCAGCTCGCGCTGCCCGAAGGGACTCCGTCTGTCGTCCTGCGCACGTCGACGTCCCACTCCGCATCTCGCAAGCGACCCAACGGTCCACTACGGGAAACCACCCGTTCACGCTCGGCCCTCCGCGCTCCACCCCCTGTGCCAACGGCTACTGTTCGTGGTCGTTGCCCGTGTCGAGCCGCAGAAAACCTCCGATGTCCGACCACCGACTCAAAGGACCACTTTTGGACCACCAACGAGTGTCGACGGTGCCATGCGCGCGACACAACGACTCCGTGAAACGCGGGAATCCTAAAATTTTCAGTAGGTCGGGGGCTACTGGAAAATTTAGGACGATTTTGCGTGGGGAATCCGAAATCTTTTAGGACTCGTCCTAACGCCGTTTTCACATTTTCGATCTCCGATTTCGTTTTAGGACTGTGTGCAACGAAGACGCAATCCTAAAAACTGGCACTTTTAGGAGTGTCTAACGAGAACCCAAGGCTCCAATCTATTCGTGGGGAGCAGCACGTGCTGGGAACCGGGCCCAGCATCTCATATAGAAATTTACATAGAAATTTGAAAGTTTGAGATACCGGCCGGGGCCATTACCCGGCTTTGGCTAAGAAAAATTTGAGCTACTTAGCAAATTACTACGAAGAACTTCAGGAATAAGCAAAGTTCAGAAAACGACTCAGAACCCCCCCAGTCAATCCTTTTTAGCTCACTCTGGCAAGACTTACTGCAGCAGAGCCACCATCTCCGCTGCTGCTGTACCCTATTTCCATCCTACGAGCTAGCCCCATCACTAGTAGGACGCTTGATATCCAAACCATCCGGCGGTTGGGCAAAAGCCGCAAAACTTGGCATGCAGGGGGTTTCCTGCCTCGGCATAGATAAGTGGGCCAAGTACTGGTGGTTTAACAGCCACGGAAATTACTGTACAGGCTAGCAGCGAAATAGCTGACGGCATGCAGGTTGTATCTGGCGCCTGGTTCAGGGTGAAGAGGTTCTCTCCCGTCTTCCAAGTTCCTGCTCAGTCAATCCTCTGGTTTCCAGGGCAATCAATGTTGGCAGAAATTTCTCACTCCTTTTTTTGAGACCAAAAAAAAAAAAAAAAAAAAAGCTGACGGCATGCAGGTTCATCCATGGGCCGCACCACAATTTCAGGCCTGCGGCTGATGTATGGGCCAAGTACTGGTGGTTTAATCTGATTCTCTTTGCTAGTGGGACCTGGCCCCCTGCCCTGAAGTAAGTCCTTGTGCTAGTGGAAAGGTTACCTCTTTTTTTTTTGAAGGAACAACCCGAGTGGATGCTAGGGGTGCTGGTACGAGCAGGCACCACTAGCATTCTAGTGAAACCCTCTTCTTATCAACAGTTATGTGCATGTCACATTCAGGCACATAGCTGGGCAGAAAAAAGAAATAAAAATGACGCGGCTTTTTTTTTTGTGTGTGTGTGGTCGGATGGACCAACGGATCAGATACTGCCCTTTTTTTTTCTTTTTTTTTTTTGGAACAGATACTACAATTGAGCTTCGGCTTTTTTTTTTGTGTGTGTGTGGTCGGATGGACCAACGGATCAGATATTGCCCTTTTTTTTTTTTTTTTTTTTTTGGAACAGATACTACAATTGAGCTTTAGCCAAAGGGCCGAGAAAGGTAACGAATTGGGCCTGGCTCCACTGCTATCTGGATGTGCAAAATGAGAATGAACCTTCCTCTAGAACACCGCCATATTTCTCTTCTTTTGTGCACGTGGAGAGTAGGGGNAAAATGAGAATGAACCTTCCTCTAGAACACCGCCATATTTCTCTTCTTTTGTGCACGTGGAGAGTAGGGGAGTGAGGCCAAATGACGCGTTATGGAGCACCAAAAAAAGCGAACATAAGTAGGCATCCTGTCCTAATCAGATTTATTACAATGATTACAACATGATTGCGCTGGAGATTTGCTTATTAACACGGGTTTGACAGTTGTTCACGCGGGTTGGATTAAGAGTAGTTGAGCAATTGGCCTCACGTACGTGCCTGGGCAAGCTTGGGGATCTACCTGCTAGAGATAACCCGTTGGCCCTCCAAGCCAGCGTTGGCAGGACCTTGGTCAAGATTGTTGGTTGGTATGCAGCAAAGATATTGGCCATTAGACACCACTAATGTGGGGTGGGAGGGGGGTAGGGGGAGGTGCGAGTGACTGGCCAAAGATGCTCGGCACTAGCATTGCCGGTTTCCCCCGTCGGCAATGCCTGATCACCCCTCAATGCCTGATCACCTCTCATCATCGTGATGAGGGGCTGATACAATCCTTGCTCTCGCACCACTGCTGTGGTGCCAACCTACCCCGTGGGCTGGGGAGAGTTCCAGGTTGGGTTGGTGTTCCCCCGTACTATATATAGAGTAGCGAGGGGAGGAGATAGACAAGGAAAACATATATACAAAAGAAGATTGAGAGAAGAATATAGATTAGTTTTATAAAAAAAAGGAAGGGAAAACAAAAAAGAAAAAAAAAAGCCCCAAATCTTCTTTGTTTTGAACAGGGAGTAAAAACAGGAGGAGATTCATGACACTAGCAGCTCCATGGGACGACAACGGAGCCCGGGCTGAGACAATAATGACCACAGCCCCAGTGAACAACAAACAGCAATCTCTGTGTTACAAGATGTATCAATGGGATGCTGGACCCGGTTTCCAGAAGGTGCCACTCCCCACCAGTAGATGGAGCAGCCCGACAGATAAGGCCTCAATTCTGACGGTTCTCTTACCACCGCGAGGATAGAGGGCTACTGCAAGAGCTATTTTCGTCAAAAAAGAAAAAAAGAAAAAAAAAAAGAGGAGATTCAGTATGCAACAGCAGGAGACCCTGAGGAATGGCCACATCTTCTGCAGTGTGGAAACAGCAAATCAGGCTTGGGATCCCTGCTCCACTCACCAACCTCGTGTTTTGGTGAGATTCGGGTCAGTCAGTGACACGTCAATGTTCGCCGAACTACCCCGTTTAAAATCCCATGCAGCACCGCTCACCAAACATTCCTGTTTATTTTGGAGCTCAGGGGGAAAGTATTCTCTTTCTTGTGTTTTTTTTTTTTTTTTTTTCCCTTTTTTTCAACCACTAGTACACGGCTCCAGCCTTGCAGTCGGAAACTTGTCGCCACAAGAAAAGGAGGCCAAATGCTGGGCCTGCCGTTGATAAATTGGATAGGCGGTCGCGTTTTTGTTTCGCCCCTCCAGAATTAGCGATGTCAGGCCCGCGTCCCAGGTGCCATGTACTGGTGCTTGAGAGAACAACCTGAGCGGATTGTGGGGGTGCTGATAAGAGCAGGTACCACTAGCACTCACGGGTAGGCTCCATCTACTGGTGGGGACCAGCACCTGCTGGAAAGCGGGGGGAGGCTCCATCTACTGGTGGGGACCAGCACCTGCTGGAAAGCGGGTCCAGCGTTCCCTTGGACATTGTAGTTATTTGTTCGAACAGACATGTAGTAGTAGTGACAGCAAGCTGCTGGACTCACCTACAAAGAATGGGGTAGAAGGACACAGCAGCCTGAGTGGCTTGTCTATATGACAACCTAAGGAAAGTGATAGTATAGACAGATCTCCTGTGCTGCTACATCCCATTCATTCAGCAAACAGCCTCAAGTAGAGACCGCTATGGGGATGCTAGACCCAGTTTCCAGCAATCGGCCAAAGCAGGGTAATGGCCCCACTATTTTTTTCTGGGTTGAATTGTGAAGTCGCCCCCGGGGATGGAGGGCCCGGCCGCCTCGCCCAAGCCTACAACTCATCCCAGGGTAGGGGCCTGCTAGATAAAAAGAGCATCTGTTGGCGCCCCAAGTAGCAGCGCAGAACCGGCAGTTCCCTGGCCTCTCACCTGGTCCAGGTCCTACAATCGCCAACATTCTCAACTTTCTCAACTTTCTGCTCGTTCTCAACTTTCTCAAATTTCTTCTCGTTCTCAACTTTCTCAACTTTCTCAACTTTCTCCGAGCCCGCTCAGTCAACCCCCGGTTTCTCAGGGCAGTCAATGCTCAGTCCAGTTGATGTAGCTCAGTGGTTAGAGCACCGGTTGGAAATGCGCATTGTCCTATGAGGTTGTGGGTTCAAAACTCAATTGCAGCCTCGGGCAAGGACACCGGCAGGGCGTTAGTTTGACGCACGGCTGGACACACACCCCCTTGGGCTGATGCAGGTAAGTTATTACAGACACTGCCTGCGCACCACCCAAGGGTTTGTCCGGGTTGCAATATGTCGGCTTCTACCTACGCGAGTTACTGGAGGACATTGGCTACTGGTTGCCCTGTTGATCTCCCCCATCATCTGTCCCCCATCATCTCTCTCATACACGGTTGGCTATCCTAGTTTCATACAGCACATCCAAGGTTCGAGTCTGGCATAATTGTCATACACATATATATACTCAAAGTGTCACACGGTTCTTGCTACCTATACGCCTACACACACTGCTTACACATACAGACAGGTGTTACAACATAGATAGTCACACATCTGCATACTAGCGTTACGACATATCTGCATACTAGTAGAATAGGGTGGGGGAGACCGATTCCTGTCATGGGCTTGTCATGGGTTCAGGCCAGGCTACGAGGAGTCTACTCTGGTCTATGCAAGCTCTTGGCTGTGATTCGGTTCGTCGGTATGGACCGATAGTGATACCGATTGTGCCTGACGTCTGAAGTCCCCGAGTAACAACGCTTGCGCGATAAGGATTCCACTAAGGCTGGGTAGAGGTAGAACTGTCCAGTCCTGGTGCCTATAGCTACTGTTCGGTCTACGTCGCCCTCTGAGGAATAGGGTGATTGTCCTGAGTGCTTGTATCACTCAGGTAGGATAGTAGGTGTAGGGGGTGCGTTAGGAGAATTGAAGTGAGGTAGGGTTGGGAGGCAGTCCTACCGTCGCGCATCAGGGTACCCACTAGCTGGTTGAGCTGGAATAGTACCACGAAGGTGTCCCCTCCTATATCAGAATAGGTGGGAGCCATGAGGCCGCACCTGGCTGGGGGAGTGGTCCATGATTGGCGCCAGTGGAATACCACCAACTCAGGAATAAGGGCCTCGCCACACCACAGTCGAAAATGCGATTTTCGACAGTTTCTATTCGCCACACAGGCTGTCGAAGTCCGAGACGGGAAGAAAATTCGCCAG